TCAAGAAAGGAAACAGCGTTTTCCTCATTCAAATGTCACATGGTTTTCATCTGTGGTGTCCTGAGAGACATACAGTTCAAAGTGAAGTTTTCAGGTGATCGACATAATATATGATGAAGCTGTTTATCAAATCATGCTATTTTTGAAAGTCCATAAGCATGAAGAAAATTATGTAGAAAGAAACAACACCACAGACAGAGGAAGGGTCTGATAGCTCAGAGTCAATTTTATTTTATCCATGCTATTATAATAATCTTCTTAGAAAATGTATTAATGCTATTCTTATAAAAAAAAACACAAGATGTAAACCTAATGAAGACCAGATAGATACGCTTGTGATACCCCAGGAAGGAGAGAATGGCTGACCTGCAGTAAGATGGGAGACAGCAAGGCCCAGGGCCTGAGAACAAAGGCCCTAGTTCTAGAAGGTTTGGGCTTGAATGTCCGCTCTCACACTCCTCAGCTGTGTGTCGCCTGGATACATGACCTAGCTTATCTGTGTCATAGCTATTTCCTTCACAAATAGAACAGCACCTACCTAATGGTCATTAAATGGCTTAGGTTATGGAACTGCTTGATTATTGATAGTCAGCCCTCTAAAAATATTACCTGCTATTTCAGGGAAGCAAACAGGATTGGATTTGGGGCAATGGAGCAAAGGAGGAGATTTTTAAGACAGTGGTGGACACCTGACTGATGCCGACTGTCTTGGAGGCATCGTTCAAATCCCATAATTCTTTGACCATGCCTTCAACTGTGTAACATGAGGTCATGCAGGGAGAACATGGCAATGACTCTGGTAATTCTATGACAGGTGTGTAACTTTGTCACCTGGAGCTAAGGGTCACAACCCTTAACCTCTCTGTTCAGTTCTGTGATTAGTGGGGCTTACATTTTTCTCTTGTAACTAACATGATGATGATACATATTTCAACACACACCAAACGGCCCTTCTCCTCTACCTGTTCACCCTGTTTTACTTCCAGCCATGGGCCAATCTACTTCTCTGGAGAATGTTGTAGAAACTCAGACAAGTCCAAAGAAAGACTTTCTAACTCTTTGGCGCTGCTTGTATGAAGGTACAAAGATGAATTCCACTCTGGGGTGGAAGTGGGAGCGACATACCCTGGGACAATCTTTGCACACGGTAAATATGTATTACTCTCATTGGTTAATAAAGAGATGACTGGCCTATAGCTGGGCAGGAAGAGATTGGGCAGGAGAGCCAGACCAGGAGGGCGCAGGGAGGAAGAAGGGCGGAGTCTCTGGAGTCTCAGGAAATCATCAACCAGACATGGAAGAAGCAGCATGGAAAATACATAGATGGGGTGAAGCAGCCTTGGGGCCGCACAGAGATGAATAAAATTGGGTTAATTTAGGTTACAAGAGCTCGTTAGTAACAAGCACAACCATTTATAATTAATAATAAGTCTCTATGAGGTTCTTTGGGAGTGGGCTGGCGGGACAGAAAAGTCCACCTACAGGGACACCCTGGCCCACTGCTTAGTGTTCTCATTATGTTAATACACGACAAGAAAGCAAAACACATTAAACACATTAGTATTTAGACACTGTAGAGACAATTCCACATGGTTGTATTTTGAATAAGCAGCTTCTACCGAGTTAGTACTTTCCTCTTGTCTCTGAGTTTTCCAACCCTTGAGTCATTGTGGAGATGTGGCACCTTATTTACTTCAGGTCATGGGACACTGGTAGAGGATGCTTAATTTTGATGTTACCCTCCTCTTCCACCCACTGTCTCCCTGTATGTTCTTCCATCAGAACCCTAAGTGGTGTTTGGATGGCGCTGTAGCTATTCATCTGTTCAGGGAAATTTTTGAGCCTTTTTATGGAGCTCTTCATTTGGGTTTTTATTGGCCTTGCTGTCGATCCTAACCCTGCCCAATGTCTGGACTGGCAGAAGTGTACCGCAATGGGTATAACCTAAGCATGAGCCCCACGCCTTGTCTCTGGCCCATACTCCAGTCACAGTGTCCTCCTGCTTCCTACATTAGGTGCACACTCTCTGGTTACTGATGCTCTGTTAAAGTTCTTTGTCAGCCCAGAGTTGTGTCTTTTTGGATTTTCCCATATTGGGGTTTTTCTCATTCATGGATTGGGAGTATCTTAATGTAGCATAATAAAACTGAAACACGATTCTCAACTAAGCATGGACTCCAATATCTTGTGAAACTCTCAAATGCACTCTTGAAAAATACTGCTTTATTGCGATAGAACCGGCATACAGCCAACTACATCTACTGTGGGCGTATAATCGTGGATTTGATTTTGAGGCTTCTCCTCACTAGGGACGAGCCTGTCTTTCTCCTGGCTTCTTCAGCCTGAGCCTCTGGGGGGGGGGGGGGGCTTGCCTTAACACTCTTTAGTTACTCGCCTTCTGAAAGCCCATTTTCAATCCCTCTCAATCAGGCATCTTGTCTCATTACCCAGTTGAAATGTCTTTTGAAGGTTCTGCTGCCAAGCCCAGGGGGTATTTGTCTAGCCTTTTAAAACGCAGATGCTTTCTGACATTTGCCTGCATTGGTCAGTCTCTATTTATTTTTTTTTTTTTGGAAAATTTTAACTTTTTCGGTATCCACAGCAACCATCTTCTGGTGCTCTCTGACTCCGGATGGACACAGTCACTTCTCAGTGTCTGCGTTCTGCTGGCCTACACTTCCCATTTGTTTACCAGCCTGGGCTAGCCCTGTCCATGCACCCTCCCCATGTGAGCGCCTGCACCCAGGCTGTTTAGTAATACTCAGTGCATGTTAACACGTTCCACGAAATAGCTCCTCTTGAGACTTTCCTGATACTCAGATCCATAGACATAAATTGTTCTTTGGACCTTTCTACTCACACATACCGTAGGCATCTGAACTCAGTGCACTGAAAATCCACTTCATTAAACTCCCACAAAAAAGTGTCTCCTCTTCCTTGATTCCCTGGCCTAGGATGCATGTTTTTCCTGGGGGAGCTTGCAGAGTTGGCTGGGGAAAGGCAGTATGAATGCTTGGGGTGGGGGCGGGAATCACCAACAAGCCTGTGCAGTTTCTGTGAGCTTTGTATAGCAGAGTAGCAAGGGGCTCACTCGGGCGGGTGGTGCTGCACAGCCGCTGGAGAACGGACCCCAGGAAGATAAAGTCCTTGTTACCAGCAGGGCTGAGAGATGAAAGAGCTTTCAAACAGCAGATTAGCATAGCCAAGGGGCTGCCTGCTGACTTCTACCCTTTCCTATATTCAGAACACGTGGGGATTGCCCATGTGCCAGGTGAAGCCCCAGTGTATAGGCAGGTGGGGACCTTGCTTCCACAAACTTATATTCCACCCCCTCTCCAAATTAGACAATGACTGCCAAACACTAACAGAAGTATGTTTTTAGAAAGAGATAAATGCTACAAAGAAAGAATGGAATGGATTAGAAAGTGTTAAGAGGCCAAGGGGCTCCTTTGACAACATTGTGAGGGAAAAGGTTTCAGGGGTGAAGCATTCAGGCAGTTTGGGTGGATAGATGAAGCTTTTTTTCTCTCCCTCAGTTCTGTAGAAAAAGGCTTAACCAAAATCCCAGCATTTGAAAGAACCCATGGGGCTTTGGGTTCATTGGAATCTCTCCCATAGAGCTGGGACAAATGTTTGCTTTACTTTCTTCAATATTTGAGATAAGATGCTTATTAAACTCTGCTTCCTGACTTAAATGTTGTGTTTGTGTGTTGGGTGCCAGGGAAACAGAAAACTCCTAGCAGAGACCCTTCTCTGGGGCATCTGAGGTGAGAAGGACTTAGAAGCATGGTCCCTTCCTTATGGTTGACAGCACCACCAAACCCTCTGACCTTTCCAACATACAAGGATGAGACCCAATGCGCTTGCCTTGTAAGTGGCATTCTGAGTGTTTTAAGAGATATTGGGTTTGGGATCCTGAGTTATGGAAACACAGTCACATAAAGATCTTCCAGTAAGAGAAAACAAACGATAGCAAAGGAAACCAATCGACAAGTGTGGTGCTCAGAAGTGGTAAACACTGTTAATAAGGAGGGGGAGGGAGCTGGAAAGAAATGAAAGAGACGCAACTTTAGAGAAATGAGCATCTTTTAGGAGCAGGTGTTTGTTTTTTATTTGTTTGGGGTTTCCCCCCATTTATTTATTATTTTGATTAACAAGTATTAACTGTTGCAAGTAATGAGTTTTAATATGACATCTCCACCTGAGCATATACTATACTTTGATTATATTATAATCCTATCCCCTCCCATTGCTTGCTTATCCCCCGCTTCCACGTTTACACATTTTCTCCTTCTCACATTCATGAAACATTTTCTTCCCTTAAACATCATCTATGAGAGAAATAGGGAACTCCTTTCCTTGTGAAACTTCTGTTAACACGACACAGTCCATCTACTTTGCAAATGACACGGTTTTATTTATTTATTTTTTTTGGATTTTTGAGACAGGGTTTCTCTGTAGCTTTGGAGCCTATCCTGGAACTAGTTCTTGTAGACCAGGCTGGTCTCGAACTCACAGAGATCCGCCTGCCTCTGCCTCCCGAGTGCTGGGATTAAAGGCTTGTGCCACCACTGCCCGGTGGTTTTATTATTCTTTATGACTGAATATGGCCCCATTGTGTCCATATACACCATGTATTCTTTAACCATTAATCTCCTGATAGACACCTAAGATGATTCCCTGCCGTGGGACAATGGTCTGTACCCTGTCACTTGTATTTTAAAGAAATGCTAATTGGCCGGTAGTCAGGTAGGAAATATAGGTAGGGCAACCAGGCAGGAAGTAGAGGTGGGGCGACCAGGCAGGAAGTAGAGGTGGGGCAATGAGAATTCTTGAAAGAGGGAAGTTTCTGTCTGCAGTCGTCACCCAGACACAGAGGAAGCCAGACACAGAGATAGCAAGATGTAACTGCCTTGCCAATAAAGGTACCAAGCCACGTGGCTAACACAGACAAGAATTACAGGCTAATATAAGTTATAAGAGTTAAGAAGAAGCCTGAGCTAATAGGCCTATCAGTTTATAATTAATGTAGACCTCTGTGTATTTATTTGGGCCTAAATGGCTGTGGGACCTAGTGGGACAGAAACTTGGGTCAACAATTCCCCAGTCCGAGCTGTTGTGAATAGCATCATGACAAACACCCGGTGTGCAGATGTCTCTGTTGTGAGATGACCGATCCCCTGGGGCAAACACCTAGGAGTGATGCAGCTGCATCACACCGTCCTTCTCTTTTAAAATTTCTGAGGAAAGATGAAAAATAATTGTAGAAAATTATTCTCAGGTGTGTGACTTTTGTTTACGCTGCATTTGTTTAACTCTGTGAAGCTGTGATTCTTTGCCTGTCTAAAATGCTTGATGGTCTAATAAAGAGATGCAGGGCCAATAGCAGAGCAGGAGCAAAGATAGTTAGTCCTCCAGACAGTATACATAGAAGGAGAAATGTGGCGGAAGGAGAACAAGAGAACAAGGAGTGGAGGATGTCAGGGGTCAGCCACCCAGCCACCCAGCCAGTCACGGAGTAAGAAGGAAAGTAAGATATACAGAAGTAAGAAAGGTAAAAGCCCAGAGGGAAAAGGTAAATAGGATAATTTTAAAAAGCTAGTAAGAAAGAAGCCAGGCTAAGGCCAGGCATCCATAATTACGAATAAGCCTCAGTGTGTGATTTATTTGGGAGCTGACCCCCTCCCCCAAAAAAGTAAAAATCAAAAAGAGCAAAAACCATCGTACAACACTCGGGGTAGAAAGAGAGGTCCCGGCCCAGTGAAGGGGAAGTTTAGAGGAGGAGCAAGTGGGAGACTCCTGAGATCAAATGGAGCCTTCACTGAATGTGGGCTAGGCCAGTGTGGCTGGCTCATGGCACAGCGGGATGAGTGATGAGGCCAGCTCAGCAAAGACGTGGCCTACTATGCCGTGGAAAGGAGCTGAAATATGTTCTCCCTTCAGAGGGAAACCAGGGAAAGCTTTGAGTCAGGGGAGTGACGCGATGTGGTGCAATTAGCCTTTCAACAGGCGCCCTGACCGTTCTGTGGAAAATGGAAGCAAGGGCGTATTTTAATTTGGAGTGGTTCCCGATGCAAGGAAGCATTGGACAAATAGTTCTTGGTAGGGGGGAGTCATCAACCTATCACGCGTTAAAATGGACAGCTCTGGCCTTTAAATGAGCTGTTTTCTTGTTCCCCAAGAACAATGCCATTCAGAACTTGCAATGGATGTGACTCGGTGTTCCCAAGACCTGGGAACAAAATGTTTCTTCAGGTCAGAGGGCAGGGAGTCTGTTCGCCGGAGGTATGATCTGTTCAGCGAAGGAATAACTTTCCACTCCTTGACTTGGCTGTTTATATCATTTAAACCTTTTTATAGATGTTACAAACATGACATTTAGGTTAGAAAGGAAAGGCCCTCTGTCCTATAGACTTCAATGTCAACAGATAATGATTTCCCAAGTGTTTTCATTGTTCTCAATAAACCAGTGTCTTAAAAAGTATGTGCTCCATTCTTTTCCTGGAGATAAGGTTGATAAAGAGTTTCTGTGTCGCGTGTTTAGTTTTGTTGGAGAAGAGGGAGGTTAAGTATAAAATCGAGCCTTGTTGCCCCGAGAGAGAAAGGCTAAGAAAACGAAGGCACACCTAGCATCCTTGCTGATGGACGAAGAGTGCTCAGTAGAGATGCCTTTGTCTCATCTCCTTCCTTCCTCTGAAGTCCCGTGACTCCTGGACGTTACGATTTTTCATATGAAGTAGGGAAAGCGAACTAAGAGTTGTTACTGTTAAAGAAAGACAGAAATCATTGGTTCTTGATTGTCGCTGTTTTAGGTTTCTTCCTGAAGATGCTTGCTCTTAGAGAATGCATAATGCCGACCAGGGAAATTTCTGCTTTCGATTTTCAAATGACCCCACAGGTATTGAGACAGAAGCCCCCTAGAGAATGTTTTGAGAGGAGTACGAGCTTTGAAGTGAGAGCCTGGAAGTCGAGTTCTGTCCTCAATGTTTTTGCTGTGTGGCTTTCCGCACGTCACAGAGGTCTGTCCTCAGGAAATGAGGCAGGGGATTTGCTGGCTCTGAAGCACTTTGAAAATACTGGTGGTTGTCCGTTGTTTTGATTATCACTCGTTTTATTCTCTTGGCCAGTTTCTCCTTCTAAGGACAAACTTTTTTCAGAGACATGCTTGGATTTCTGGTGTCATCTGTATTTTAGAAGAACATGTTCTAAGGACTCAGTTCAGTGTGGCGCACATCTAATGTTTTGCAAGAACGAATATCTTATTAGGAGGTCCTGTGACAGGTATTCCTAGGCTTACTATAGCCTAGGTTGAAGAGTGAGCGTCAGTGAGTCAGAGCATCAGCCCGGAGTTAAGGAGTAGGGCTGCTGTGTGTGAGGAAGATGATTTCTGTCAGGAAAAGCAAGGGAAAGTCTTCAAGGGAAGAGGTGACTCACTGGCTTGCCCAGCGTCAAAACAGACTGAGAAGTTGTCCCAGAAGTAGCCCAGTCTCCATGAAGCACCCGGCACCAGGCAGAGGGGATCCGTCAGGAAGCACACACCAGCGTGTTCGCCACCAGTATGGGCAGCATGCATGTATCTGGGGAGCATAGCAGCAGCCAGCATGTCATTTCCCAGTGTAGCTGTCAACAGGAGGCTGAAAGCAGGAAGGAAGGACAGGTCCCCACAGGCCTACTGACAGGCACAGGAGAGAGTGATAATAACAGCGCCTGGCAGCCAGGCAGCAACTAATCATGACCAGAAAAGCTGGCATGAGAAGTTGGGCCTTAGAAAACTTTCTTACCATTACTCCTTACCTGATACACACACCCATCCTCACCACAAACATACACATGCCCTCCCCCCAAACACACACACACACACATACACACACACACATGCTCATACAGTGTATATGTATATACACACTCAACCCAAACATGCACAACCTATATACAGATACAGACACATACACCCTCACCCCAAATACACATACACACACACACACACACACACAGACACACAGACACAGACACACACCTACCCTCATCCCAGACACACACAACCCATATACAGATACACACACATACACACACACATGCTCACACAGTGTATATGTATATACACTCAACCCAAAATACAGATACAAACACACATACCCCTACCCTCACCCCCAAACACACATACACACACACAAACACAGAGACATACCTACCCTCACTCCAAACACACCACCCATATACAGAAACACACACACACACACACCTCTGTTAAAAGTTATAGCTACTTACCAAGCCAAGACATTAAAGTTAGAAGCCCTGTTTCAGTCCTGTTAGATCATTGGATGTTCACGTGCTCTGGAGCAAGTTTCTCAAACCTTCCATAGCACAGGGCTTCTCTAGCATCCATCAGCAGAGAGGTGCTATGAGCAGGAAATGAGGGCACGTGCAGGAGGTGAGATGGGCACTGCTGAGCATGTCACGTGACATACACTCACTAAGTAGGGTACGCGAAAATGGGACTAAGAGTCCAGTGCTGGAGCCCAGACTGGGCTCATACACGGGAGGGAAAACGGTTGCCCACAGAGATGCCAATTGGCCAGAGAATGGGCAAACCTATCCAAATGCTGGATCTCAGGGGGCAGAGCTCATTATTTTGAAGTCTCTTCTGCCTGAGACTCGGGGTCGGTTCTATGGATTTGCACAGGGTTGGCCTCACAGCAAGCGGAGGTGTGAGAGAGTTGTTCTGGAATGGAAAGAAGTAGGGGGAGCAGAACCACACATCCGCAGGCAGAGCTGGAAGCCAGGTAGAGGTTGAGGCTTCAGGAGCAGCAAGGGACCCTACCGTGGACCTCTGAAGCCATGTGATGAAAAGTGCTGGGAGCATAGGGTGTCAGAGACTGAGTGGGGAGCCCAGCTTTTATACTCTCTTCAGAGACCCCCGGCCCCTCTCTTCAATTCACCAGTGTCAACCTTGGTTGTCATTCTGACCAATTTAGCAAACTGTGCCCCCCCATATCTGAGTCAGCCCCAAAATCTTTACATTTGTGGCTGGATGGGTCAACATCACACCTCACCATTTTGAGGAGCAATGTGAGATTGTCCTTCAGTCTTGTCAAATGACCTATCTTTCAGAAGGACACATTCGAGTATGGGCAAGGGATCATCTGAGCCCCTAGAAGCTACAAAATCAAAGCACTTCGTCAGGTGCTCGAGGGAGGTCAGCCTGGGGTAAATATTAAGTCTGCAGCAATAACTATCATGGAGGCCACTTCAGAAATTAACTTATTGCAGAAATCGAGGTCATGTGGCTTTCTGAAGTGCAAGGACAGGTGGCATACGGGCCCGATTTTGCCTTCAATTTCCCTTTGAAGTTAATAGGCCGGGCAGGTACTTATCTAATCACGGCATTTGGACCAGCGTGTTCCGCACATTCAGGACTTTGTAATGAGATGCAATGTTTATGTTCCAGGCTCTTCCCTACAGACTGCAAAAATACCCTTTGCACAGCCTTGTCTAATCATTACAAGTGTCAACAGTCAAAGCTAATGACAGAAAGTAGGTTTATAGGGCAGTAACCCTGCCTGCTTGGCACAAAAGATCTATTCCCAGAAGGAAAAAAAAAAGATTTAAACAATTATGTGAACCTCTGTGTAGCTAAGGGAGCGGTGTGGTTTGGGGATTTCAAAATCATGATTTTTTTTTTTTTTTTAAAATCAGATTGAGCCAGCATTTAAATGTGTGAGCAGTGTGGGAAGACTGATATTATTGAAAAGCCTGAATATGTGTAGTAATAAGAGCGGCGGGGCTGCGTCCCCAGCACCCCCAGCCGCCTGCTAGCTTATGCCCGAAATAACAACACACAAACTGTATTCATTTAAACACTGCTTGGCCCATTAGCTCTAGCCCTTACTGGCTAATTCTGATATCCCGATCAACCCATTTCTAATAAACAGTAGCACCGGTCTTACCGGGAAAGATTCAGCATGTCTGACCTGGCGACTTGCTCCATCGCGTCTTTCTGCCCAGGAGCCAGGAGCATGGCGTCTCTGCTCCAGAGAGCAGAGCTGTCCGTCTCTGTCTGAGGCGTCTTACCTCACTTCCTCTTCCTCCCAGCATTCTGTTCTGTTTACTCCACCCACCTATGTTCTAAGCTATGAGCCCAAGCAGTTTGTTTATTACTTAACCAATGAAATCAACAGATTGATATGTGACACTCCCACATCAAATATGGATTTCTTTCTTAATTTTTTTTAAGGTCAAGCTTAGAGTCCCCCAGATTCTCCTCTGTGTGTTTGTGTGTGTGTCCATCCATCAAATCTCCTGGGAACTCCCCCATTTAGTTAAATTCTATGTTTTAAATATTTACTAAGCACTTTCTGGGTTCCCAGTGTTGACTTGGCTGTGGAGAGTCATAGACACAGAGTTATGGGAACTGAATGACAGTTCTCTGTGCATCATGAATTCCTGTGTTGTTCAGAGCCTGATTCCCAGACCCGGATGCTCAGTGCAGACCCTCCCAGAATGAACTGCCTAAGAATGATCTTGAAAACTTGTTAAATATATAGTGTGAGGATCCCAAGCCCAGAGATTCTGACTGGATGCACCCAGGAAGGTATAGAAGCATTGGGAGGATTTTCATTTTTATTTATTTGTTTGTTTTTTGAGACAGGGTTTCTCTGTGGCTTTGGAGTCTGTTCTGGAGCTCGCTCTATAGACCAGGCTGGCCTCGAACTCACAGAGATCCACTTGCCTCTGCCTCCAGAGTGCTGGGATTAAAGGCGTGCGCCACCACTTCCTGGCCACTTTTATTTATTTTTTTTTAAGATTTATTTATTTATTATGTATACAACATTCCTTCTGTGTATGCTTGCATGCCAGAAGAGGGCACCAGATCTCATTATAGATGACTGTGAGCCACCATGTGGTTGCTGGGAATTGAACTCAGGACCTCTGGAAGAGCAGTCCGTGCTCTTAACCTCTGAGCCATATCTCCAGCCCCCACTTTAATTTTTTTTAAAAAACTACAATGAAGCCTGGTGGTGGTGGCGCACGCCTTTAATCCCAGCACTCGGGAGGCAGAGGCAGGCAGATCTCTGTGAGTTTGAGGCCAGCCTGGTCTACAAGAGCTAGTTCCAGGACAGGAACCAAAAGCTATGGAGAAACCCTATCTCGAAAAATCCAAAAAAGAAAAAAAAAAAAACTACAATGATATCTTAATTTTTAAAAAGATGTGTGTGTGTGTGTGTGTGTGCACGCACGTGTGTTTATAAATGTATAAATGCAGTGCCCTCAGAGGTTGGATGAGGGCATCAAATCCCTAAGAGCAGTGGTTCTTAGCCTTCCTTGTGCTGATACGGGTCCTCACGGTGTGGTAACCCCCAATCATAAAATTATTTTTTTGTTGCTACTTCATAACTGTAGCTTTGCTGCTGTTAGGAATCGTAATGCAAATATCTGTTTTGCAATGGTCTTAGGCAACCCCTATGAAAGGGTTGTTCAACCCCCAAGCGGTCATGACCCACAGGTTGAAAACTGCTTCCCTAGAGCAATAGAAGGCAGCTGTGAGCCGCTGGACATTGGTTCTGGAAGCTGAACTCAGGTCCTATGTAAGAGCAGTGTGTTTGCTGAACTGTAGAGTCATCCCCCAGGCTGGCTGGTCTCGAACTCACAGAGATCTGCCTGCCTCTGCGGGTCAAAGCCTGTGTCTTTCAAGCTGGGTTTCTGGTTTCTTTCAAGGCAATGTGGAGCCGACTGGCTCATCAGCTCTCATAAGTACCTGTTCTTTTTGTAATTTCATGTTTACACAACAACAGAAAGATGTGTAGGGGTTAGTGGCACTGGCATAGAGCAGAAGTCAATTTTTTTTTTTTCCAAAAGCTGATCTTGTGTTTTGCCAAAACCTGGAAGTGATCAAGTTTGAATAGGATTCTCACTGTTATTTTCTGTCACCTTTCGTTCTGTGGAAGCACAATTCTTGGTATAGATGTAACAGTTCCTCTCCTTTGTCACCCCCAGAAACCTAATCCCTCTGCCTCAGGTGGCTGCACAGTCACGCTAGTGTAACCTTGGGGAGGGAACTGGGGCTCTAGCTTGGAGCTCCAAGTAAGGGACAAGAAAACCCGGCAGAACCAGCTCAGCCACTTCAGACTCTAAACAAGCAATCCAATGGGAATAGGGACAGAGATTAGCATAGGACTGCAATTAAAGCCGGCTTTTCCAAGGCTGTCAGCATGTCAGGCTGAGCAGTGGCCTGAGAATGTTGCTCACATCCCAGGAGAGGTTGCTGGTTGCTATGCCAGTAACGCAGCACGGGGCACTTGCTGTATAAAAACTGCTGTGGGTTTTTGTCTGATGTACCTCGCTTTTATCAAAACACGTTTTTCACACGCGTACATGTACCTGCTAATGTGTAGATTTGTGGTTTCCCAAGTCCAAGAATAGGAAGACTAGAAAATCTAATGCCAAAGTCTTAGGAGAGATAGCAAAACAAAACAACCTTCAAAGGTTAGTTTGTCTTGGGGCAAATGCGTGGGAAATACATGAGGAGGACAATTTAGTTAACAAATGTGGGGTGTAGCTGTAATGGTATCATTTTCATCTCTGTAGCACAAGCCTACGCTAATATATATATATATATATATATATATATATATATATATATAAAGTTTTCACTATGATCATTTGGGAGACACGGAAGAAACAGACACCAGGATTTCTGCCCTTCACTATTTGAGGAGAAAAGACAATGTATATATTATTGAATGGATAAGTGAGATGTGCATTTAAAAAACCATTGAAGGGACCCGAGAGTTGCCTCAGCCTCTAACAGCTCTCATTGCTCTTGCAGAAGACTTGGGTTCAGCTCCCAGCACCCACACTGGGGCTCACAACCATCTGTCACTCCAGTTTCAGAAGATTTGGCACGCTCTTCTGCCCTCTGCAGGCACCAGGCACACATGTGATACACATATGTACTTGCAGGCAAAATAGTCACATACATGCTAATATAAATCTAAAAACAATGATGAAGACCCCGGATGAGTGAGATAAATATTAGCTTTAATGTAGAGAGAGGGTTTCCAAGAGAGTTGGCCTCTTGGGTCTGACAGGTTTGGGGCACACAGTGGAAAGTGGAGGTCACATCAACCTCAAGGCTTAACCCTTAGAGTCAATGAGTGAAGTGTGCTATCTTGGGGGCCTAGCTGCACTTCAGCTGAGGAACAGGGCAGAAGTGCTCATGGGAAGCCGGAAATGGCAGAGTCTGTGGGCTTGGGTAGAGAGCAAGTCAAGTCTCAAGTGAATGTGTGTGTTGACACGGACGCAGCCATGTCGAGGATCTCAATGCCTTGGCCCCGTGGGAGTGGCAAAGACTTGCTTGGGCCTGGGTGAACATGTTTGTGGTATGTGCCGAAAGCGCAGCTTTCTGTCCTCCAGATGTTTGTGACTCAAAGACTGCTCCCTTACAGAGACCACTCCTCTGGACATTGGTTTACCCTGCTCCGTGTTCATATGTGTATATAACAGCTTTTCTGCCTTGTTTATCTGTGTGTAATCCTACCTCCCTGTTCAAGTGTATAGGATAATGTATATAGTAAGCACTTGGAGCTTTCTGGATGCAACGGCTTCTCCATCAGAGAAAACCAGCACACACACACACACACACACACACACACACACGCACACCCCACATCTTTTTCTTTCCCTTGAAAAATTTAAGTGTGTGATCCACATTGGGTTTTTACAGCAAGTGTGCTGAACCTTGCTTGACCAACTCTTCTTGAGTAACTTATTCCCTGTGCTGTTTAGAGGGTCTCGGATAAGCCCTTGGGAAGTTTGTCAGCTGGCCTGGTTGAGTAGCAGGATTTTATTTCCCATAGCCAGATGGCCATTTTAGCACCGTTTTTGCTGCTGGGCTCCCATGTTAATAACACTCTGAACAATATAATCTTTTCCAATTAACTTTGACCACGTGGTTTAATGACTTTTTACCAGGGGACTCAGGTCATGGTACAAATAGCCCTCTTTCCGCTCATACGGGGGCTCCTCGGATTGCCTTGAAACTGAACGTGCCTAGGTGGTTCTGTACCTCCTCCAGCTCTCACAGCTGGGCTTCCTTACGGGTTTTGATTCCAAGAGACTGGGCTGTGGGAGCTGAGAGTTCTGAAGGCCTCTTGCTCCACCTCCTAAGAATGCTAAGTAGTTCCGGTGACCACAATGTGGTTGTCAATGTCCCATAGAGTGACTTGGCGTGAGAGCTGGGGAAACCAACACAGCTTTAAGTAGTGCCCACTTACTGTGTACCAGAACCAAAGGCCGGGGGTTTACGTGCATTTTGTTTTCTGATTGTCACAGTGTCCAAAATATGTCTTCTATTCTTTCCACCTTTATAGATATGGGTATTTAGGCTCCAAAAGGTTAACTTATTTGCCTAAAGCCATATACCCAGTGACAGTCACAATTTGGTCCCATGGGCTGTTGAATTCTGGAACCTGCAGTTTAACCGTTATACTGGTTTAGTTTTATGCAGAGACACTGCCAGCAAGCATCAAGAACAAACTGTATCTAGATATAAATAACACATAAATATGGGCGGACCTGGTTCACGGCACAATCCTTTTGAGCTCCAAAGAATAAGTTAGCTTTGTGACTTTGACAGAAACAGAAGGCAGGTTGTGAAGTTTCTTGGGTAATTCTAGGTATTTGGACACCTGTTCAGCTATTCTGGGATTCTGTGGTGGGGGTAAGGGAAGACAGGGAGGGTGAGGTCATTATTGCAAAAACCATTTCCTGAGAGCTTGACTTCAGGAAATGCAGGAGCATTAAAAATACCCATTGTGTGGGAGTCGTGGTTGGACCATGACTCACATTTAACAATTGTGTCCATAGGTCATGAAGGATTGGGGGAACATAGGAGATATTCATACAAGGCTGTGTCTGTGGGTGGTTCATTATGAAGTGTTCAGTAGGTTGAGAGTCACGTTGCCATTTCAAAGGTGACATTTACCAGTCTTCATGGATACTGTGGGG